CCCCCCCCCCCCCCCCTCTCTTTCCCACCAACAGCTCTGTCCAGGTGCTGCGCTTGTTGCAATCGAAGCTTTTTCCATAATTAAATAATTAATCGTCATTTTATTAGGCCCGTGCATAAGCTATGCGCTCTTTCACTTTCACATTTGTTTATGCGTCTAAACAAAGACAGACGTACAAATATAAAGATATATGTATGTATATGTGTACGTATTTATATCTTTATATTTCATGCAAGTATGTGAGATATTAAAAAATTATGAGACAACGCGCTGCCAATTGAATGTGTCGCCGCATCGTGTCGCGTCGCGTCGCGTTGTGCAAAGTGAAATATATTTTTTGTTTTGTTTGTTGTTTTGCTGTTGTTTTTATTATGGCTGTGGCATTGTCAAAGCAACGCACGTAAGGTTAAGTAAGTGCCGCAGGCAGAGGCAGCAGGCAGAGGCACTCTGTGGCACGCATCTGCGGGCTGCCAAATATGTTTGCGATCCGCGGGTCTTTTCACCAGCTGCCCCACACCATGGATGGCTGTTGCACTTTTGCCTGCCTATGGCCACAGCTATGCTTTAAACTAATTAGTGTGGGAGAAAAAGCAGCAGCAGAGCGAGAGAGAGAGAGAGAGAGAGAGGGGCAACACATTTGCATACAGCGCACTGAACTTGTAACCAAGCCGAGGGCCCACAGTAGCCCAGTCAACGCGCTTGCCACATTTTCTCAGCATTTTATTTACTTTTTAATACCCTATAAAAGCAGTTAGTGATTATAAAATGAGTATACTGGATGTCAGATTACGTATGCAATAGGCTGTTGCAGCTATTTAACTAATATTCCAATCAAACTCAGAGAATATTTCTCTAAAATTCACTTGTTATTTCTTTTAATACAAACAAAAAATTAAATAAATAAAAAATAAAAAAATAAATTTAAATTAGTAGTTAATATGAATACAAAATAATAATTTATAAAAAATATTAAATCTATAAAAAATAATTAATTTAACAAAAGATTATTATGAAAAAAAATATAAAATAGAATAAAAAATAATAATAATAAATAAAAAATATTAAATATAAAAATAATGAATTTAACAAAAGATTATAATGAATAAAATATAAAAAGGAATAAAAAATAATAATAATAATAAATAAAAATATTAAATTTAAAAATAATTCATTTAACAAAAGATTATTATGAATAAAATATAAAAAAAGAATAAAAATAATAATAATAAATAAAAAATATTAAATATAAAAATTAATGAATTTAACAAACGATTATTGACTTATAGCAAATATAAAATAATAATATTAAAGATTTATTCATAAAATATATAAATATATATTAATTGATAATAAATATAAATTAATAATAATTTAAAAAAATGCTTACAATATGTCAAAGAAAAAAATATTTAAAATATTAAATAGAAATAATATTCATAAATACAATATTGATGATAATTGAATTTCAAATGAATAAATAAATACTAATTTAGAAAATTGTGAATAAAATAATAGTAGTAAAAAGAAATTAATAAATTCAAGCTATAAAAAATATATGAATGATTACTATAAATGTCCAATAATGGTAATAAATAAACTAAAAAAAAAATCTTTAATTAGTTAACAATTGAACAAATCTTCAACTCAGTAGAGAGTATGTTAAAGTCGCGTAAGACAAACTGCGAGCTTAATGAGCTGAACCTCTGTCAATACGTATAGATAAATATGCTTATATATTATTAATATGCATGTCTATTCAATACACACATCTGCATATGCATTAACCCAAAAACTTAGTTTTAGTCTGCCGCAAATCGTTTGGGCCTCGGGCATTGCCTCTGCTTCGTCGTTTAGATTCGATCAGTGATTAATTGGAGCTGTGCGCTGCGGAGCACAGTGGGTGAAGCACTCGGACTTGGTGAAGAAGCGATTCGAGTTGCCGCCGCAGGAGGAGTAGTCGAAGGGCTTGCAGCTTCTGGTGTTGCGATTGTAGTACCACATGCGGATGTGGGAGTGGCAGCTGCCGTACTCCGGCGGCTGTTTGCAGTCGTCTGCAAGGGGAGCGAGAGTGTGGGGAATGTTCTAGGATCTGCTTGGAGCACTCTTGCACTGACTCACCCACTTCGAGGTCGGGCCAGTCGGCGGCAACAAATGCCGTCAGAAGCAGCAGCAGGAAATAGGACATTCCGCAAGTGTCTGAATTCGCTCTGCTCTTGGCCAAATAACAGAATTCGCTAGACTGATTGAACTGGGCTAGAACCAATGGCATTTTATAGCCATGCGAACAGCCAGCGGCAATGCGTCATTTGGGAAAGTGCTTAATGGGTCCAAGTCTAGTCCGATTCTCGTTCTATCAGCAATTGCTTAAGTATCTCTCTCTCTCTCTCGATTATTGCTGAGTCAAGATCGAATCTTGAGCAAAACAGATGTGTTAAGTGCTTTGCTGTGGCCATTCGCTCAATTCACTTTCACTACGAGCCGAATTCAAATGCGAACGAAAATCCATATGGTTTAACAAACATTTTCGACAGCAATTTCTAAAAGAAAACCCCAGAAACTGAAACGCATGCAACACGTTTTGCATGCCAATCAAAGATCACGGCAGCCGAACGCGCAGTCAATTAACTCTGCGGCCTCGCCCCCTGGCGGCCGAGAATTTCCATCAGATGTACTCACACTCATTGTGTTGACCATGTTTGATCATGTCCAAGGCCTCGGCCACAGGCAGTCACACAATTTCGCACTCAAGGAGCGGCCAATCTCTGGCTCTGTCTAGCAGACCAACAGTTCATTGCACTGGCGCAAAGTAACTAAATCGTATCTGTGAGATACGCAGCTAATAATTTGTATCTGGTCTGTTTTCTTGTGAATACCCTATACTTGGGGTATAATGATATAGTTTCTGGGTATGATAGAGTAATGGGTATGCATCTGACTTTTAATGTTGAACTCTTTATGACAAATTTATCTCTAAATCATATCATATTCATATTTACCTGATTTATCGATGGTATTTTTGCCTTCAGCCAGATTAAATATAACAACAAAAGAACAATCTGACTCTTTATGAAAGATGTGATTTTGTAATCCAGGATGAGCGTTTATATTATTAATTATATACCACAAAAAACATGTTTTTCCACCATTTTATTATGGATAAATTTATTGCATTTTAAGACAGAGATTGATCATTGATCGATAGATAGATAGATGTAAAGATCTATAGATATGTAGATATAAAGATATATAGATATAAAGATATATAGATATAAAGATATATAAATATATAGATATATAGATAGATAGATAGGTAGATAGATAGATAGATAGATAGATAGGTAGATAGATAGATAGATAGATAGATAGACAGACAGATAGTTAGATAATCTAGACAGATAGTTAGATAATATAGATAGATAGATAGATAGATAGATACTTTCTCAATATATTTACACTAAGCTCTAGAACTGAAGTTACTTCGACAAAAAGATTATCTAAAATTTCTGTATGCTGAGAGCTCTATACAGCTGTTTAGGTATTTCCCTAGTCACATACTCCAGACTAGAGCACTTTTATATGTTTTTTTTTTAATGTATTTGATATCACGTATGCCATTAAAGCTCGCTGAGGTAAAAAGGTAATATATATATCTGAGTTTTGTTTTTCCTAAGAGCATAATTCGCAGCGAGTCTGAGAACTTTCACGCCACTTCCGCCTGTCGTTTGCTCGGCGACATCTCTCTGGAGATCGTTGCGCGTTGGCCCTTGGCTCAGTGAAACTAAAGTGAGGAAAACATTAAAGAGATCAGCCCGATGATATATGATGTTAGTATCTTTCGCATCTGTGCTGCGCTACATAAAGTGAAATCTTTCGATTGCAAAATGTTGCGCAAACAGATTTGGCAATAGCTGGCCACGCAATACCATTCTCCAGACCGGGTTTACGTCGAGTACTTGAGCGTGAGCATTTCGACAGAGAATGCCATCAGGGCCAGGCTGATGCCCAGTACCCAGACGAGTAAGATGCCCGCGAAATTGGACATGCCCAGCATGACGGGCTCAATGTCGATGTCTTCTTGGCCACTGGAGAGCACGGTGCTCTCGACCTGTTGCTGGATCTTGACATTTAGGTTATCGGCCACGACGCGATCCTCCCAGTACTTGTCGAAGCCGGACGAGTGCCAGCGATAGACCAGGGCATTGAAGCGCTCCAGCAGCGGCCAGAGCCGTGGCACAAAGGCCACCGTATACTGATAGTAGAGATCCTCCTGCATGATCACCATGTGCTCAATGGACTGCTCCGTCAGATAGTCGCCGATGGCAAAGTGGCCTGGGAATAGGGGAAATTGCAGGAAACGGGGCGTATGGGGTGCAATTCTCGTTTAGCTACCAAAGGGCAAGCGCTCCAAGGTGAATCCCATGCGCTTGCTCTGCGCCAGCTCCAGCAATTGCTCATCACTGTAGACGCCAAAGTTGTCCAGCAGCTCGTTCATCAGGGGCTAGGATTGGATTGACAATAGATTAGATAGCATGATGGGAAAGCCGTCTACTCACATCATCCGAGCCGCGAATCGAGGAGACCCACGCCTCTGAGTTGCCCGCCCACTGCAGCCGCTGGTCGAGCATGCGCTGCATCGTGTCCGCCGCCTCGTCCAGACTGGGTATGGTCAGGATGCTGGCCAGGCCGCCGCCATAGATGCTCGTGATGATGATGTCGTTCAGGAAGCAGGCGAAGAGCAGCACCCGCACCGTTACGGAGCGGGCGTGGCTGTTGCCCGACTGCGAGATGAACAGCTTGAAGGTCGTGACGAGGCCAAACTTCGTGCTGCGCCACCAGCCGTGGACGGGCGTGGCGCCAGCATACAGCTCCAGCTCACTTCTGTGGGCCAGCACCAGGCCGAACGTCTCGATGCTCAGGCAGAGCAGCACCGCGGCCCACAGGGTGGCCTGGAACGGCTCCAGGGGCAGGTACCAGCTGGCCAGGCGCTTGGGCGCCGGCACCAGGCACGTTATGCCCGAGCGCACCAGGTACATGGAGAGGTCCAGATAGGTGTAGTCGTCGTACCAGGAGTACATGGCGCCTATGCAAATGTCCGCCTTGTGGCCGAGAATCATGCCCAAGGCGCCGTCGCCCGACATGTTCGGATAGATGTTGCCCCAGTCATTGGCATCGGCTAGGCAGAGGGTGGTGTATTATCTACCCAAGAGATCTATATATGTATGTAGATTCTCAGTCTACTTACACGTGTCTATCTGCACCGTACAATTGAATTGTGCGCAAAAGCTGAGCACGACTTGGGTCTCAGTGCCATCGATGTAAACTTGGGATAGATTCGAGTGCATTGCCACGCCCACATCACGCGCATTGCTCGGACTGGTCTAAATAATCCCCCATTCAATAAGTTTTACATTCTCCAAGATCTACCACTCACATATTTGATGACTGTGTAGGGTCTGTAGTCAAAGCAGGCAATGATCACCTCACGGCCCTGCAAATCCCTTAGTTTGTCCGGAAATAGAGGCACATTGTGCTGAAACAGCTGCAGTCGTGCATCATAGCGATCTATCAAGATCAGCTGCTGCGGCTGCTCCGCCCTGGGTCCCACATACTTGTTCGTCTTCAGCTCAAAGTCTGTTGCATTCGCATAGCTGCGCAGGACGAAAAGTATGTTGGGCTGATCTAATATAATATATAATAATAATATATAATAATAATATATAATCATAATGATATATATAGTAATTAGCAGAGTATTTATATAATGAATTACCCTGAAAAAAGTAGCTGCTGCAGCATGCCTCCTCATCCAGCTCCTGTGCCACATGAGCGAATACGAATCTGTTGCGCAACGAGCGCCAAATGGAGTACATGGAGGCCTGTGCGAAGGCGGCCACAAAGCGGCTCATAAAATCGCCAAAGATCAGAAAGGTCTGTGAAGCATAGGAAAATAAAGAATATACATATATAATATGTATCTAAAATATATATAGAATAATGAATAGAATAGAACTCTCACCTCGCAATGTGAAGTTTCAATGGATAATGTTAGCTTCAGCACCAGATCATCGTAGTGCAGGCCGAGCTCCTTGAGCTGTTGTCTTCTGGCCTCTGCATCGATCACATTCTGCTCAAAACTTTTCTCCATTGTGTCAATATTAATGCCTATGATACTGGAGTAGTCTCCAGCTAGCTGAAATTCGTAGTTCTTATGCCAGAACACGCAAATCGTGCTGTTCTGCAAATAATCCCTAACTAAATGAAAATAATTCTTAATATGAGAACTATATATATGTAGATTGAATTATATAACAATTTTATGTATAATAAATTAAACATATTTTAAATTTTTTCTATATTATCATTTTTTTTTTTTTTATTATATATATTATCTATATTAGATATATTTCATATGTGTATATATTTACTGATTAGGTTTAAAATCAACGACCAAGCACTGTCCATGGCTCTGACTTAACTGACTAGATTGGCATTGTTTTGGCCAACGAATTGCCAATTGTCAATTGGATAATTGTTGGCATGCAAAATTTGTATTTCATTCTGTTTATTTTTCCTGCACAAATTAAGCAATTTGTCAATTTAACTCTAAACGGTTTACGAAGGCAGAACACAAATTTGATTGTGTAATAAAAAGAATTTATAGGAAAAATATAGCAAAATAAGGCAAGGGTATTTTAAAATACCAGATAAAATATTAAAGTGTTTTTTTTTTTAATTTAAAAAAATACCAGATAAAATATTAGAGCTTTAATATATATATTTTAATTTTTTTTTAAATTTATTTTTATTTATTTATTTATTATTATTATAATTTTGTATTTATTTATTTTTTGTCACTTTTTTGTGAGCAAGTAAAAAATAAATGCTTCCAAATGCACCAATTTAACTTTTAAATAACTAATCGCAAACAAAGAATTTATTTATAGCATTTAAAACAATAAAAATTTGCTAAAAGTTACTTAAAAAAAAAAAAAAAACAAATAACAAAAACTATTTTCGTTCATAGCCCAAAGTCAAATAATTATATTTGGCGAGCTATTAAAGTGTATTTATAAAATACTTAAAGCAATTACCTTTTAGAATCAATAAAAGTATTCCAACAATTTGTAATTTCTGTTCGGAACTCAAGATAAATACGAAATACGTACATAATTACAGACAGATCTTGATAGTTTCGGAAGATCTCAGAGTTTTTGTTTGCAGCGAAATTGTAGCGTTTTGTGCAGACAATGCGGAAATTAATAAAAAAAAAAAAAATAATACACAAAAAACAAAATGCGTACAGTAAGAGCCACAGTCAGAGTCCGAGTTACAGACACGAAAACAAAGAGTCGAAAGTTGTTGAAAAGAAAGAAATTTTAATTGATTTTAAACGAGAAATTAAATGCGGTAATACCGAGGTATAAATCCGAACACGTGTAAACATCCATGGCAGCCAGAAAGTGTCTAATATCGAAGGGAAAACACAGTGCACTGCCTGGGTCAATTCGTTCACTCTCTTTCACTTTCTAAGGCTAGCTCCCCTCCCAGCACCGTCAGCACCGCCCTCCCTGCCTCTAATTCCCAGCTCATATTGGAGCGTGACGCATGCAATCAAATGCGATTTGATATAATCAATTACCTTGAGTACTTGAATAGAATCAAAGCTGATTCGGCTTTTATTTTTTTGCACCCTATGAAGGTAGTGCAAGCATAACCTTGACCAGAGTCTATTTGTCAGAAATAGAAATTTAGTCAGGGACAATTGTCATTGCCCATTTCTCGTAGCTCTCATTTGACTAGTTTGCTTTCCAGGAGGTCTGCTGTCATGGCCTTTAGTTTTTCCCCTTTGATGATTTCCCTAAAAAAGGTCTCAAATGGGGTTTTCCGCATACCTCTTACATTTGCCTGCTCCTTTTGTTGCATTGTGAAATTTTGAAACCTTCTGGAGTTAGGGAATTACCTGCCTCTTTGACTGAGTTTTCCTCAATTTGGAAAAATTCTACATAGCCAGGACTTCTGGAATAGTTGCCAACCTATGAAGCTTTTGTTTCAGTGGAGTAAAACATATGAAAGGAAATTCCACAGACCATTTCGAACATATACAAAATCTCGGAAATGAGTTCACTTTTTTGGGTATATATTGCAATCCATAAAACTTTTGTATTAGTAGAGTAAAATATGTGCCATCTTCTATTTCATTAGCTTTAATTTGTAGCATTTGTCGAATTTTTTGATATCAATACAAAATGAAGAAATGAAAAAGCTGAAAACAAAAGAGGCGTTCGCATGAAAAATACGTCAACTCATAAAAGTTTTTGTTGGTCTTGTTTGTGCATTTCGCAAATGTCTATTGTGCGGGAATTGCTTTCCTATTGTCGCGCAGCAGGTTTCGGCTTGGGTTTGGCTGACGTATTTCGGGTTTCATTAGCTTTTGCCTGGTGGCAACAATAAAGCGATTTTGGTCAAACAGAAGTTGACACAATTTTGGACACTCAGCCATCATAATGTCGTGTGTTGGGTTTATGTGGGCTCTTTCTCCATTCAAGTCTGAATTGGGGGCAATCAAGAGGCACAGCTGAAAATGTATAACTCAGAACAGACACAAATACCTACATAGTTATGTGATGACAGATTAACTAGGAATGAAGCTATTCATAGATAGTAATCATAATATTTTATTCACATATGTATGTAGTAATCATAATATTTGACTACAGCTGCCTCGCTTTCCATATATGGCCAAGAGTGTTTTGCTCATTGAAGCAGCAGCAGCAGCAGATGCAGCCACAATTATCTTTATCGAAACAATCTTATTAACAATAATAATAAACAAAAGAACGATCGTCACCATGGCTCAGTGCCCAATTAGGTAATACCAATGTCAACTCCAGTAATCGAACACAACTCGCGTCGCTGGCCGATCAAGGCAGTAGCCGAGGCAAAGTGATTTTAGCCAACCTTGCGAAAGGTTTAATCAAGCCAACTGTCAACAATAATAATAATAATATTTTAGTGAATTATCAAGAATTTGTTAGGGTATTACTATATTTCCTGACTTTAAATAATTGCTAATTAAGGCATATATAAATAATAGCGAAAAAAAAAATATATATATGTGGTATTTATTTATTATTTAGTTAAGTCTAGAGCAGAAGTATTGGGCTTAGCTATTTAATAAAAAATAAACTATGTATTCTCATATAAATATACATATATCTCTATATGTACAATCGCTTGACTTTATGAAAGTGAAAAATGAAATTAATGAAAAAGTAAACATACATAATTTAAATTAAAGTTTTCCTTACTATATAATTTGGAGTTTCTAAACGAATCTTTAGGTTATTATAAATTAGGCAGCAAAGAAAGTCATTTTCTTTTAGCTTTTTAATTAAGATTTATTATTACATTGTGTTCTGCAATTCAATTAATCTAATTCAAGTTTTCCTACGTGATACATATCAAATTATAAATTGTTTTAGGCCTATGTATTTTTTTTAGTAGAGATCTGTGAGCAGGCATAAATGCGATCGTCATGGCACATTTGTAGATTAAGTACCTGGTTAGAGCAGGGCACGGCGCATTAGGTTTTTTCACTTTCGACCCGGCGTCGGCTTTTCTTGGGCTTTCCTTTCGTTGGGCTTAAATGTCAACGGCACTGCGACGAGATGGCCGAATCGCGGCTGCTTTTGGGCCATGCTTGCCCGCAGCGCCGGCGATGAAATCATAAATTAATCTTACGATGCGAGCTGTGAGCTGTGAGCCGAGAGCTGTGAGCTGCACAGATTCAGTTTAATGGAATTACATTTGCTTCGTATACAATACTTATTTGTTATGAGATCATTTCGCTGACTGTTTTTCTGTATTTTCTCTACGTTTTTCTTTTCTTTCCTTTTTCGTTTTGTTTAATTTAATGAATGAAAAGTCAAATGAAAGATTTCTTGCTGCACCGATTCCACCAGACGCGTTTCACTTTTCATTGAACCCCCCGCCCAGTTTGGACATGGTTGACTGTTTGGGCCATAATAGTAGCTGTAATATTTTGGAGCGCTCCGCTCCGACTCATGCGTAATCCTTTTGTGGGCGCTTGTCTTCCGTTTCACGTAATTGCACAAGCGGCGATCGCTGCCAATGCCGGTGACGCCCCAAAATAGCAACAGCAACAACAACAACAACAACTCGAAGCCAAACCATTGCATGCTCTGGGCCATAAACGGATAAGCACGAACATACGAATTAAGCTGTTCATTGGTTGAGCCAGTTAGCCATCATATCAACAGCCATCGCCCAAAGACATGTACTACAAATGCATGAATATATTGAAATGTTGATTCCGACAAAATATATTCGTAAGCGCCATTATGCAATCGGTTTATTAGATCCTTTCCTCAGTGCACTTCGTTAGCACATGGAAATAAACTGCTCACGCATGCACAATCATATAAGCACGCACACATACACACACACACAACATACACAAATGCATGCAAGCCTGCTAGCAAAGGTCAATTTTTGTGTTTTTCTTTTCCTTTTTATTGCCGTTATTCGAAGACAGTTTGGCAATTCGCAATGCATATACATACAAACATGTACATATTTTTACAGCTACAAATGCGACAAGCATACGTAGGCTGGCAATACAAATGTATAAATAGATTTCTTGTTCTAACATCCAATTGTGGTCATTGCCCGAGTTGTGTGCGCGTGTATTTGTGTGGCTGTGTGTATTTGTAAATGCAACCAGAAGATCATACAGTCTGTGGGAGATATTTCTTGTTGACAGAGGCTGAGCACATCACGCCAATTGCATACGCAGCTGGAGGAGCATTGCTTGCTTACAACGTCACACAACATGTTGTAAACGAAGCAGAAGCTTTTTTGTTGCTAGCTTAAAACTTCACGCAACATGTTGTATACGAAGTACAAGCTTGCATTCGCAGCTAAGTCTCAGCTAGCTTACAACTTCAAACAACAGTTACACGAAGCTGAGCTTGCCCTTGGTCTTGCTTTGTTTACAGTCGCACACAACATGTTGTATCGAACCGAACTGAGCCAAGCTGCCTTGCCCGACGCCGATCGAGCCGTGCACGCATCAGTTTGAGCCGATCTTTCGCGAGCGTAAGAACGTCGCGCATCGCAGTCGAGTCGAGTCGGGCTTTTGTTTTAGCAGCAAAGAAATTCAGTGGATTTGCATAACTATGAAGAGCTGCGTCGAGTGCCGAAAGCCAAGCGCCATATGATTGGCCGCGTTTCATTATTGTCAACGATCAATGAAGCTGCAACAAAGACTGACCTGCGCAATTGGAGCCCATCAGCATTTGCATTGGAATAGCCCACAGCTGGGCGGCTCTGTGACTGTGACTGTGTTTGTGTTTGTGTTTGTGAAATGACTTGTGAAATGTGAATTATGAATCTGTTGCAATTTTGTTTATTTGTTTAAAAGAGATACATGTGTTGCATCTTGACCGAATCGAGATAAACAAAAAAGTGAAACTTTCGATAAGCGTGCCTGGAAAATGCCCATTGGCAAAGTGCCGCAGGCTTCGCACCGCAAGCCGTCGAGCAGTGGTGAGTCCACCTGCCTGGACAGCACCATCGACTCGCGGATGTCGACAAGCGAACTGCTACCCATGGAGCTGCTCAAGGTGAACTATGTGCACCAGTGCAAGCAGGCCATGATGCACAAGTCGAACGAGCCGCCGCCCCCGCCCACACACCTGAACAATCCAGCGCGCTTTGTCGGCTACCGCCGGCAGCCGCCGCAGATGCACAGCGTCTCGCAGGTGAACGCAGCAAGGAAATCCCTGCCTGTGCCGGCACTGCCGCCGCCCACGGTCGAGTCCTGGCTGCTGCTGGCCAAGCAGCCCGAACAGCAGAGGCGCTCGGATGATCTGGATGACTGCTGCTGCTCCCGCTCCGGCTGCTCGTGCTCCGACTCCAGCTCGGACGTCACCGAGACCAGCACCGTGACGCCGGACTGCGAGAAGTCGCAGAGCTGGAATTATCGTGACATACGGCGGGACTTGGCACGCGCCGGCGCCGCTGCCGGTATCAGATCCCGGGCGGATCGCATAGCACGCATCGAGCGCAGGGAGTGCCAGGCTGAGGAAGCCGACTGCACGGCCTGCCTGCGCCAGCCGGAGCCCGTGCGCCGCCTGGCCCCATCAGCCATGCCCGCAGCAGCAGGAAACGGCAATCGCGGCCCGTTGAGATCGCGCATCCCAAAGCCGCTGCTGCAGCGATCCGCCGAGCCATCGCCCAACAGCGAGGCGAATGCGCAGCTGCAGCGTCGCGTCAAGCAGCTTTTCCAGCAGGACATGGCCTACAACCACAACGCCGCGCCCCGCTGGATGTTTCAGAAGGCCGGCGATAGCCACAGCCCGGCAGCGCCCACAGCCAGCTCCTCCGCCCAGCAGCAGCAGCCAAGAGTCAAGCTGGAGCGGGTGCACATACGCAAGAAGCGCCAGCCGCTGCACATCGTCAATCAGCTGGCCAGCGATGGCTGCAGAGCAGGAGGAGGAGCAGGAGAAGCTGGTGCTGCTGCTGCTGCTGCCGAGTGCAGCACGAGCTACAAGCTGCAGCAGCAGAGTCCGAAGATGAAGCAGGTGGAACGCGCTAAGCGCTTCTCACTGGAGAGCTGCTCGGACTCGGGCGTCTCCTCCTCCAACGACGCCAAGGAGCAGCACGCGAAGCAAACGAATCTGCAGCGCAGCGAGAAGTGCGTCAGCTGTGTCCAGGTGCCCGAGATGCAGCTGCCCGAGAAGCACAAGCAATACGAGCGCACCTCTGGCACGGCTCAGCCCAAAGCCCATGTGGATCCCAACGATGTGCAGAACTTTGCCAAGAAGAATCTGACCAAGGCGACCACGAATGAGCTGCTCACGGCGGCGGCGGTGCAGGTGAAGCAGTGCAACATCGAGAAG